AAAAAAAGTTAGCTGGTTTTGTTCACTAAAAAACACAGTAAGTGGCTGGGAATAGTGATACATATCTGTAGTCCTAGCAGTTGGGAGGCTGAGGCAGGAGGATCATGGATTAAATCATGTATACACACATACACACACACATGCACACACATGTTAAATAGATTTTGGCAAAACAAGTCATAGTTTAAATGTACTAAAGAAACAGATTCTGGGCTGGGAAGGTGGCTCAGTGGTAGAGTGCTTGCCTTGCATGCCTGAGGCCCTGGGTTCAATTCCTCAGCACCACATAAGCAAAAAGAAAAAAGCCGGAAGTGGCACTGTGGCTCAAGTGGTAGAGCGCTAGCCTTGAGCTGAAGAGCTGAGGGACAGCGCCCAGGCCCAGAGTTCAGGCCCCACGACTGGACCCCCCCCCAAAAAAAAAAGAAAAGAAAAGGAACAGATTCCTCTATATAGACCCTTATAATGTAAGTATCCCTACTTTGATAGTCTTCTTTTTTTTTTTTGGCAGTGCTGGGGATAGAAACCAGGGTTCTCATGCATGCTAAGCACATACTGAGCCACAGCTCTAGCCTTCAGAGAGCCCCAACACATCAAGACTGGAAGAATGGAAAACTGATTAATCCTTGCCCCTTTTTATATATGGAGTAACAGAATCAAGGAGGGGAAGGGTTCACCTTCTCCTGAACAGCACTGATGCTGGCATAGACCACCTTTTTTAATGCTTGATCCTTTCTGAGTATGAAAATGTGTATGTAGTGTGAAGGCACAAGAGGAGCATGTTTTCAAACACACTGAAAAGTATTCAAAGTGATATAACCCACACCACTAAAGTTTATCTTTGGTTTTCAAACCCAGGTCCACGGACATGGATGATCAAGATGCATTGTACTCAGACTGACATGGTGACTTGAAACCCCTTTGTACAACTACTTAAAAAAATTAAAATGAACCCAGATCCTAATACTAAACTCCATGCTTTTCAGTTCTTGGTCTTTTTTGTAGTACTGGTCAGGTTCCAGTCTTAAGTAAATCTCTATCAAAAAATTCAAATGGCTGTGACAGCCTTTATGCAAAGGAGTATTTTTAAATTTTATTTTATTGTAAAGATGCTGTACAGAGGGGTTATAGTTATATGAGTAAGGTAATGAGTACATTTCTTGTCGAACTGCAAAGGAATTTTATAGAGACTGGCAGGCCATTTCTATAATTTTTCTCTTGAAATTTGTGGATTTTTAGATACAGGATATGATCAAAAAGTACTTTGAACATATGAAGTAGTGTTTATAATCTAAGCTAGTATTCCTTTGGAATGTTTTAATTCTTACTAAGTTAGGTTGTTTCTTATTGCAGTTCAATGAAAGGTCTTATAAGAACCCCTCTGGGATACCCACAGGGGATGCAGAGGCACTTCTTGTTGATACTGTTGTTTTATTTTGAGACAAGTTCTCACTGTGTAGCCCAAGCTGCTCTTAAACTCTGTATCCTCTTGACTCTACCTTCCAAGTGCTGGGATTACAGGCTGGAAACACCAGGCCTGGTCAGAGGTACTTCTTTAACAGGACTTTCCTAGACTACAAATGTAATTTACTGGTAGAACATTTCTCCAACATGCACAAAGCCCTGAGTTCAACAATACAGCAAAATGGACAAAATGTCCACTTGTGCCACCAACTGAGCAAAGCTGTTAAGCTACAGAAATAGGTAGTGAAGTCGCTGAGCTCTGTGTACTGTAGGCTAATGGACAGCATACAACTTTTTTTTTCAGTACTAGGATTTGAACCCATGGCCCTCAAGCACACTACCATCTGAGCTATGCTTCCAGCTCTTTATTGTAAAGAAATAATATATAGGTTCTTCATACCTTCTGACAATTTCCTGAGTTGACATGTTTGTTCCCTGTATCTAGAAGCAGAGTGTGGAGGACTGGAAGAGGGTGGGGTCTCTAATGAACATCAAGGGAGCACTATGCTGGGTGGAGAGGCTGGTGGAGAACACTTTGGAGCAAAGCAGATTGGAAGTCAGGCAAGGTGCCTCTGGTGTGATAAGAAGGTCAGAGCGGGAATTTGGGACAAAAATAGTCACCCAGTAAGTTTAACAAACCATAATTTGTAGTCTCTTCTTTCTATAGAGCTAAAACTCTAGAGCTATTGTTAGAATGTGAGATATTAGGCATTAAAGGTCAGCTATTTAAGCAAATACTGCCTTGTTCTAGAACTGTATGCATAGGTATACAAAACCTCCTCCTAGACAGGAACCACTCTTGAATCACCTCTTGGTCTCCACAGCATGATCATGGGAAGGCTGGGCCATCTGTCCCCATCAATGTCCTTCCTCCCATTCACAGATCCAACTTCTTGGTCATACAGCCCAGGAAGGTAGCTGCTGTGACTTACTCATAGAGTAATATCATCTGTTCTAGAGCTCTTCTATTGTCATTTATTCTCAGTGCTTGGCAATGTCCTCTGTGCTGGATATTCAGCAGCTAAAAGGCAAAGTCCTGCTCTTGTTGAGTCTCCATTTTAATGGGGGGAGGGAAGCAGAGATTAAGCAAATAAGTATAAATGTATCAGATGATTATAATTTTTTGAGAGGGCTTGGAATGTGGCTTATGGAGTGCTGGCCTTGCATGCATGAAGCCCTGGGTTCGATTCCTCAGTACCATATAAACAAAAAAAAAAGCCAGAAAAGTAGCACTGTGGCTCAAGTGGTAGAGATCTAGCCTTGAGCAAAAGAAGCTCAAGGACAGTGCCTAGGCCCTGAGTTCAAGCCCTAGGACTGGCAGAAAAAATAATATTTTTGAGGAAATTGAGCTAGAAGAATAGGAGCAGGAATAAGGGAGACATTGACTATGTCTGCTTTTTTATGCACTGTGATTGGCTGACAGGTGAGGAGAAGGGAAGGAGAAGAAAGCCAGCTCTGCTGATGTTAGGGGACCTTCCATGAAGAAGGCATCAGCAAATGGCCTGAAGAGGAGTGGAAAGGAGGTGGGAGGGTCTCTTAAGCCCCTTGCAGAGATGGACAGTCATGGGATGGCCTGAACTATAGTCATTCAGTCAGTCTCATGTTCTGGCTACTGTATGGGGCAAAGAGGGAACAGAAGTTGGGACACCATTCAGGACATCACAGTGATCAAGGTAACAGACGACCATGGCTTGCACTGTGATGGTGGTGGTAAAGTGGTGAATTTACAAATTATATGTGTGTTAAGAGCTAGCCAGGGTTTTGGCCTGAGCAACTGAAAA